ACTAGTAGTAACAAGAAGCTACTAGTAGCAAAGGGCATCGCTACTAGGAGCAAGGACGCTACTAGGGGCGCTCCTGGCCTTACTACTAGAAACAAGAAGCTATTAACAAAGGGCATCGCTACTAGGAGCAAGGATGCACCTCTACTCAGGTACTCCCTGGGCAAAAATTAAATTCCGCAAATTGGTCACAATGTTAAGGTCCATTTTGCCCAACCAAAACCACTGGTTTTGAAGCTTGGATGGCTGTGGTAGAGTTGACTCCCTTGCCTCAATGAGGTGCCCTTCACATTTTAGGGGTTAGGAAAAGGGAATATGGAAATATAATGGAATAACTCTTTTTTTCTACTAGCAACAGGTGCCTCGCTAGTAGTAACAGGTGCATCGCTACTAGTAATAAGAAGCTAGTAGTATAGTGGTGATGTGATCAAAATCCTGCAGGTGTCCGACACGCGCCTCAGCAACAGGGTGCTCCACATGCAATGCAAGCACTCTTTGGCCTAAAGCCCAACGGGGTGCAATCAAAAAGGGCTGTGCTGCTCTTTAAAATTCAGCAGCCCAGGACATTGTGACCTCGTAAGCCCGGCATAATGATTCAATGTTGGAGCTGCCCCAAGCAATGACTAGCGGGGACTCCTTTAGTCAATACTGTTCAACACTCCTAGCTGCGGCTTTGCCAGCTGTTTTTTCCAAACACTGCGCCTGGAATGCGGGGCCGAGCGTGTGCGTCTCAAGCCTGCAGAAACAACAAATTTATTCAGACAGTGATTTTGGCCAAGTTGTTTGGTTTCAAAGTGCCTAAGCACTCGCCTGAGCAAGGTGAATTGAACATAATTCTTCTAGTTGCCGTCTCATGTTATTTATCATCCTGAAACTGATGACTATGGACCGGACTTCTGATAGCACCAACCAATCCACCTCTTTTCATTTCACCCGCTACACCACGAGGCCTACCATCTTTGCAGACTTCGGGCGGGAAGTTCCCAGGTAGTATCCATGAGCCGAATCCAAGCTGTCTGCAAATCGAGATAAGCCTGACAGGCCGGCCGGAAACACCAATGGGCCAGCGAGGACTCGCTGAGTTCCAAAGTCAAACCAGAAAAAATGCTAAGTCATTCTGGCTGCCTGAAGAGGCACAACCCCCCAAACGGCACAATTTGTCTATCCCCATCATAAACCTAATGTTGTTTGTGAACATTTGCACCTTGTTGTCGTGCGATTGCAGCACCATCAAGGCCCACCCCAAGGCCCACCCCTGTGGCGGTGGCCGGACGCTTGGGACGGGGCAAGACCTCGGGCACATCGGCCAGCGCAGCTGCTCGGCGCTCAGCATTGGCCTTGATCTGTGCACGCCTGGCGGGATGGCGCAATGCAGGCTGCTCAATCATGATCGATGTTCCGCTCATTGCAATTCTTTACGATGAATGACTGAAGTTTATCTGGTAATGTTTATGCAGAACCGAAGGGGCAGGGACTGTTTCGCAAGTTGCTTGAACTTGGATGTTTTGTGCCTTTCGTCACCTATGGAACCCATCTGCCAGGAAGAAAGCCAAACAGGATGTGCATATATTTGTTTCAAAGCAGTGTGTAGGCATGTCTTGCAGGGATGGATTGTCGGCCTCAACGCAGGCACCTTGGAGCTCAGGCGAGTTTGTGGAAAAGAGGCCACATGTTTTGACCGAGGACGGTCCAGTAGGATGATGGCACCACGCCCTAACGGTTTCTTATATTTTTGCATACATATCTGCATGTTATAGTATTATAGTATGTGTGTGTGTAAATTAAGCAATTTATAGGGAATGGAAGTAGAACATGCCTGTGTCAAGGAGCCTTGATCCATCCATTGGACCAGTGTCACATTCTATGTTGGCTTCCGAGAGGGCGCAAAACCACAGCAATTGCGAAGTCTTGCACTGAATCTCTTCCCTAGATGCCTTGCCCTTACTGCACGGTCTGCTTCCTCCTGCAGGCGGCGGTGGTGTGCCAGGCGCTGCCTTTGCACCAAGATCCTTTGCGCCTCCTTGGCAGCAGCCTTCTCCTTGGCCTCGGCATCCTGCATGGAGCACTGACAAGATCTAAAGATGGTAAGCAGCCAAACAACCAACCAAAGAAGCCCAGTTGACTATTGTTTCATGCATTGACTCGCCTTCACAACTTTTATCAACTGCAAGCTCGGCAGCGCCCATATTCATAACCTAAATAGTTCTCCAACAGCATTTTGCCACACTATTACAACTGCCTTCCATGACTCTTGAAGAGCCCTCCCTTCTGCGTCTGTCCTTCTGCCGCAGTTCAGCCACCAGCTGGGCCGCTTGTGCCTTTTGGCTCTTCGTCTCAGCGTCCGTCCGTTGCGCAAAGACCTTGAAGGCCTCACTGGCCCGGCGGAGCCGCTCCTGTGAAGCGAAGCGCAGTCGGGACCCAAATGACTAGCACATCGAGCACAGCAGGTCTTTGATTCTAATAGCTTCTTGTTACTACTAGTAAGGCACTTGTTACTAGAAGCGATGCACTTGTTCCTAGTAGCGGTGCTTATTGTTACACAAATGGATTTGAAATGAGATCTGATTAGGATTAATTCTTAGTCCAGCCTCCTGCTGGAGATGGTGTGAGATGATGCGCTACACACAGGAGTCACAGGAGTGATAAGCAGCACATGCGCTTGAAGATCTTAAAGGAGGTTGCAATGCTATTAGGTTAGACGCCATCGCTACTAGGGTGGAGGCTGCCGCTATTAGGTTGGAGGCAAAAGCTATTCGTGGCGTCCTTGCTCCTAGTAAGGCCAGGAGCCCCTAGTAGCTTCTTGCTCCTAGCAGCGATGCCAGGAGCCCCTACTAGCGTCCTTTGCTCCTAGGCTGCAATGCTACTTGCTTGTTGCGCCAGTCCAGCACACTGAGCGTGGTGTGCCCCCATCTCCTGGCGATGCTTTTCCATCTGCAGCTCCTGACTGCATCGAAGTTGGTGCTGAGACCATCGGCCATTCACAAAGGCTGATCGCAACGAACAAGCCAATGCCCTGTCTTTACAAAGGGAAAAGCTTTTAAGCTGTAGGATTACCAGCTATGTTCCAAAGCTTCCGTGCATTCCTGGCACCTGCCAGTTGTACCGCTAAAGCCATCTCCTTCTCTTCAGCCTCTATGGCTTCCCTTTCTGCATTGCGCTCGTTTTGTTGGTTTCGCTGCTCAATCTTTTCAGTCAGCTCCTGGTGTTGGTGAGGTCTTGGGAGGGAATCCCAATACAGAAAAAGCCTCTGATCCAATTGATGACACAAAGAGCCACTACGGTCAATTGGCACTAGAGTAGGGTAATGGCAGCCAAATGAGCGAGGGCTCATTTTTTATTGTTAAACCTGGCTACATGTTTGACTCCTAGTTGTCATTGGAAAGTCAACACGTTTGGCATTTGGGACTCGTCCGCAGCCGTTTTCGTTTCCAAAGCTCCAAAGTGGACTCGTTCTCAGGAATCTCCCGACTTGCTCTGCACGGCACGCTGGCTTCGGAAAACCAAAATGCGAACTGAAAAGCTACACACGTCAAAGCTGTTGCTCATATGAAGACACGGCACATCACGGCACAACCCAATGAATCGAACCATATCGAATCCAATTTAGTACTAATTAGATGAGGCTAAGCAAATGACGACGAACATGTCCGCTATGTCTAACCTTCTCACCGGCTCCTGGATCTTTCGGATGCGATCCGAAATGATATCCTGAACGATCGCCTCCAGAGAGAAAAGATAAAGCAAAACGACTAGAAGCAAGACGAAATTGCACGGACTTTTCAGAAATTGCGTGCGCTCTACAATATTCTGTGCACTGTTGTGATTTGCACTTGCCAGTGAAACTCCATGTCGGCAAGCCTAGTCATGGCTTGGTGTGGTTCATTCGATGTTGGAATGGGCCCTTTTGGCACCATGCGACCACAGCAGCCATAACAATGCCAATGGAGCAGTGTGCCAAACAGCTTCATTTATACATAATTCATCATGTCACGACCAAAGTGCAAGAAACAGAAACCGAGATGGCTGGTGCTCCTCCTATTTTTGGAAATTGCTGCTTGGCCCACTCAAAGCTCAGAACACGCAACTTCTGGGTGTCAACATTTAAGGCATTCTCAGACTTTCTTGTCACCATCTGTTCGCGCATCCTCTGCCTTGCCGACTTGCAGAAGTCGGTTCACTGGTTGGGGATGGTTGGGGCAGTGAACCACTATGGGAGTGAAATGTCTAGCATTTATGATGGGGTATGCGACATAAGACCGATATGGATCCCATAAGATCCCATAAGAAATGCTCATCTAGTTCAGCGTCTTCGACGCACGGCCTTATGCCTCCGGTGACTGTGGATGCTGGCGGTTCGGTTGCCTTCTCGACCTTCAAGTCTTTGGTGAGAGGCTTCTTCTCCGCATTTGGAGTGTCCATAATCGCCGCAATCCTTAGGACCCCACCATGGGCTCTGAGGGAGTGCGTGCGTGGTCATCAGCTTTTCTGCAGCCAAGGGTCGATTTGAAGAATAAAGCCGCAAAAATCATCAGAAGGCCCAGGATCCTTTCAAACAGCAGTAGACTGGAACAAGTGGAAAAGTCTATTGTCAGCCTGGCTTCAAAGTGAGTGAGCCAAGGGATAGAAAGCATGCATCGTGCAGCGTCGTGTCTCTGCAACTGGGTTGCCCTTGAATGATCAAAGAACAACTGGCAGAGTCATTGGTTTCAAACCAGGCGGCTGCAGGCCGGTCACTGGATTGTGGTATTTCACCTGATTCGAGCAAATTTGACCATGGCTTGTGTGCCAATTGCAGGCCCAGCAGAGGTGAATTGAACAGTATGAGAGCAATAGAAGTGCAGCCCGAGTTGCGTAAGAGATCAAGATGGACACCACCTGTCGGACGTTCATGGTTGCGGCAAAAACCAAGGCCCCAAACTCCTTGATCTGCGAGTAGATGCACCACCTGCATGATCACCAGTGAAGGCAACATGAATTCCTCAACCCAAATTTTGAAATGCCCGGATATGTCGTCAGGCTTCAGAAGCTCCAAAGATATTCACCGGGGGTGTGAGCCAGAAGCGGTTCCAGGATTCAAGAAGAACAAAACTGCGTCTGCTGTTTGACGCATCACTGCGTCGGCTGTTTGACCCGCACATTGTCCCATTGGTGGCAAGGTGCTGACTGGCAACTGCAGAGCCGCTAAGTAGGGCAGAGTCGAGCAAGAACTTGGGGTGCTCCATACCTTGCGAGAATTGTGGGTTGGTACTTTGGTACACATGATTGTATCATATTGTATCTGTCTGTTTGCTGCCCATTGGTTGCCATCGTCACCCAGCTGTTGGCAAGTCTGTGCCTGCGTGTCTCTCCCTATCTCTACTACCTGCCTACAACCTACCTACATCTTGCTTGCGTACTTGCTTGCCTGCCTACCTCCCGGCCTGCCAGGTTCGAGAAAAGGACCGCTTTCGCACATTTCAAGTGATGCTACTTGGAAAACTAAGCATGTTCTGGTTTGGAAGTGTCATGGTGTGTTTGATGGGCTTTAGTTTGTGACTAAGAACGGAATGGCTCTGCATTGCCATTGCTCCTTGTTTCCACATTCACGTGTTTGTCGTTACAATGTACGAACGAGTATTTGCGCAAGGAACAGCAATCAATGCAGGCCAGCGGTACCTAATTAGCAAGTTGGCACAACAGCCGCCAGAATCGGCAGCTGCAAATTGAACCACGGACAGGTGAATTCAAATCAAAGCTAGCTTTGTAATCTGCACACCGGCACTTGAAACAGATTGAGCACCAAACACTCAGTTTGGGAAACTGCAACAGCAAAGCAACGCTAGAGAAAAACAACTTTCACGTCAGACTCCAACCAAACACCGTCCAATCAAACCGCCATGCTGGCATGCAGGTGGCCCAGCACGTGGCAACCTAGCTGGCCGCACCTACCGATGCACCTACTTTCCCTCTCCATCAAACCGTACCTCGCTCTCAACTGTGGGGAAGCTATCTCCTGTCGAGCCCCATCATCTCTGCCAAAAGGATCGCTCCAGAGCGTGAGGAAAATGCTGCATTTCCGATGGGAGATCCACCCGAACCCCCCCTTCAAGGTTCAGTTGCCGAAGGAAATAGCTGGCATCAGATCACCTGTGGCCTCGACAAACGCACAAAATAGGGTGCAAGGACTGGAAACTTCGGGAGATTGATACAGCCAAACTCGCAAGTAGTTCAGTAGTTGCTACACGGGGTAGTTCAACAAAAGCTGCATGGCCGGCTTCACTAGCCAAACCAAGAAAGAAAACAAAGAATACTAAACGTACCAAACAAAATCCTGGACATCAGTCAGAAACAGCCACTGGTCACAGGGGACTAGTGACCAGTGTCATCAACTCTTTCCGGCTGAGCAGCCAAAAGCGTTACAGCAGAAACCGTTGCCGACAGCAGGTTGATGTACAACATCTGATTGTACTTGGTGGTCTTGTGCTCCTGGCTTTCCCAGGCGCCCCTGTGCCTCTAGCTGCAACGTTGGCGCTCTCTGGCAAAAATCCACTTCCGACAGCTCCGCCCAAAACTGAAGCCTTCAGCAGTTGCTCAACCATCTCACATGCTCGAGAAGACTTTTCTCCTTGAAGAGCTTCTCTTGAAAGGTGGAGGTCAGCCCATCCAAGACCAAGAAGCCGCCCAGCAGCATGAAGCCCTCGTGAAGGGCACGAAACCCAAAAAGAATATATATACATAACATACGTCTTTGCTTGTAGTTCCCTGACTGCATTGATGAGAGTGACTGGAGTGCTACATGGCTTTTCACATGCGGATCGATGCTGCCCCACCCATGCCGCTGCCGCCTTCATACTGTTTGCAGAGTTCACTTTGGAATGAGTGGGTCCTCTCAAACAACTCAGAAATCCAGAGTGGTTTGTTTGGGTCTTGAACATGTCAACTACCAAGAGCGCCCTCCCTCTTTCTACAGGAATATGTCTTTCTATGTCTTTCCTAATTTGTGTGGACAGCTGTGGCACAAGCTTCTGCTGATCACTCGCTGGTGAGTGCCTTCGGGGACACTATCAATGAAAAATATAAATGAGACCCATGCTCTCTAAGAAGGGAAGCACAGAACGGCTCAGCAACCCGCAAAAGAATGCTCAACAAAGTCAAAAGAAATTGAGAACTTAGCAGGCATGGCCTCCAACCTAGTGGCCTCCAACATAAGAGCGATGGCCTCCAACCTGATAGCGATGGCCTCCAACCTATAATCGCCTTGGAAGCCTGGAGCTTGGACCGTTACTGGGATCTCGCTAAGTCAAACAGCAAAAGTCATGCTTCCTGTCATCAGGAACTCGGTGCATCCCAGTGTGACAGCCAAAGCCACCATCCAATCGCGCATGCCTTGGGCTGAAGGCATAGCAATTGTTGTCAATGCTTGGTGTTCATGCAACGGGCCGGGTGTACGTGTCGCCCCCGTTGTTGGCAACGCAAGTTAGAATCCACACATATTGGCTGTGATTGGCAAGATGCTGTATGATTTTCGAGAAATGATGATGCCCCAAATCATCACTGGCATCCTCGGCAAAGCAGCTATCAGCAATTGGTTCACAGAAGATCGGCCGACTGCCTAAGAGTAAGGGGAGCTTGCTGCTACATCTCTTGCCAAGCATCATCTTGAAGCTCTTGCCCAACATTTGAACAGCAAACGACACATACTTCAGGGCCTGACATGGGATGGTGAAGCCGTTGCAGCAGGATGTGAACATGACTGTCAGTAGTAGCATCCACTCATGGAACCACGCCTCATATTGACAGCTGCTGGCATAAACGTTGGACAGGGACACAATGAGATACTTCCAGATTGGGGCCTCTGCGCATATGCAACAGGCTGATTATCAAGGTGGATCTTATCTGGGTTGGCCGTTCCCGTCCTGGCAGGGACTGAGAACTAACCCCTGGCAGGTGAGAACGCTTCTGAATCGCCGTGATGAGCCCAGGAATCGCCGTTGTGCCAAGAGTCTGCTAGTTTGATTTATTTTGCTGCCAGGCAAGTGTAAGGTGTTCAATTGCTGCCCCGCCCTTGCCTCATTGGCCATTCGCTCACCCTTGGCTTTAGCCTTAGTCAGGCCGAAGCAGATTTCTGCTGGATGTGGTCTAAAGAGTCAAAGATTCTCGAACATGTTGAAAGCTCAGTGCATGGGTCAATTTCAAGTTAGTCGAGTCGAGCTGTCCTGAGCTCGTCTTGCCAGCGTCCTTTCAGCGATCCCATCATTGGAGTAGTCCACCTATGTCTACTAATGTGCTATAGACTACGTGCTCATGAGTGCCAAGGAAGTCTTGGAGAGTCTGACTGGCGAGTCTGCGTCTTTGCAGGCGTTGCAACAGAGATCCCATCAACAAAAATAATCAAAGATACTGCCAGTGGCAAGTCAGGGAATACACAAATCATACTTCATTCAGCCTCATCAAATGGGGGTTGTCCAACAAGGTTCATCTGTCATGGCTCCTGTCGCCGGCCTTTCGTAGTCGTTTCATGATTGCAGGTTTCCCTTTCGCGGAAGCCTTATGCAGGCCTGCTCGTTTCTTTTTCCTAACTTTTGTCCCCACACTTGTCATTTCTGCACTGAGTATCACACACACAAACATCATACACGCAATCTTGCACCTCCAGCTTGTATGATGTTTCATCTACAGTATGTATGTTGCATATGTGGGGCAGTTCCCTTGTGACGGAATGTCTGCTTTGACCTTTCATCTACTGTAACTTCAAAGACTGGAATTATATAAGTTTCTTGTTACTAGTAGCAAACATTGTTCCTAGTAGTAAGGCCAGGAGCCCCGTTCGTAGCGATGCCCTTTGTTACTTCCACTTCGAATCGGCCAACGTCCAACGTCTAAGCAACCATGACTACCGCAAAGATCACTGCCGCAAGGCGATTGCAAAGTACAAGGAAAACCTGGGTGTGGCATGCAGCGGTGGCTGGGAAATGAACCTTGAGTCATCATTAACCTAAAATTCTAATACCTTGATGACTTGGTTCATTGGTGTCCTCCATGCTTTGATTTTGTTCACTGGGCTGCAGTTAGACTGAATATGAATAGGCCACTAGTCACAAGCAAGCTGCGCAAATAAAAAGCTTACCGCTTGGCCGAAGTCTTGAAAGAACCGATATGACATGTGCTTTGGCCGAAATGTCTTGTCAGGAATTCGCTCTCCAAACCCGGCCCTCTCAACGGGTTCGAAGTTGCTCCTCGTCAACTGTGAAAACCAGCTTTCTTCATCTCCAAGCTGCAGAGAATTTGAAAAGACTTCCATCATAAGGCACCGTCATGATGCCTTCCTGGCATCGGGCACATGAGGGCCTTGTAATTTGCGAGTTTGGTCTCAAGACCCACAAGGTTCGCCTGGAAAATGCCGTAGAGCACCAAACTGCCGATGATGCCCACGCCATAAATCCCACACCATGCTGGATGAGTCTGCGCAGTCTGGGAACCTGTCAAACGGCGTCTCGTTATGGCAAGTTTGACAACTCAAATGGCAACGATGTGATGCGTGCTGGCAATATCACAATGACATTGCATCATACAAATACCACCACAAGGCACGATCGCTAGCAAACGTGTATAGAAACATGTGCCATCGAACTTGCGTGCGAAAATTGCATGCTCCCACTCCAGCCACCTTCCATTGCTTCAATTCACCTCAGCTTCAACATGCTTTAACAAAGGCCAACATGGCTCCATTATGCTCCATTCATCCCTTAAGCACTTTGACCAACTCTTTCTGCGGCCCCCAAAACTCATTCACACATCAAGCTGCCTCTCTATGCATATTCAGCGGGCACAAGGGAGCTAGTGGCAAATTACTTCGCACCCTTGATCACAATGGAACCGAAAGAAAAAGAACTCTTGGAGAACCAACCGGAGATGGAAGAGGCATCCTCAACAAGTCAAATGCCAAGCAGCTCACACTATCGGATATGGACCTGCGGCGTCCAAAGGGTTGGACGGGCTGATTTCCTTCCGCCCGGCGTCGTCGCGTCGGCCGGACTTTGAGCCACTTGAGCCCGGCTGCGATGAGGGGATTCTGCATAGACGCAGTGACTCCATGGTCTAGTATGTACTCAACTTAAAGGGATGGGAAAGGAAAAAACACAAAAGAAAAAAGAAAGGAAGAGATGTCTAGACTAGATAGAGGTCACGCAGCGGGGAAAATCCCGAGAAGTTCCAATTCAAAAGCCCCTAGTAGCGTCCTTGCTCCTAGTAGCCTATCAATCTTGTCACGACCCTCTCGCACCCCGCCCACCAGTGCCAAAAAAGCACTAGGCTGTACGAGCCGGCCTCTTGATCAGCCTCACTCAACTCATGCAGGGAATGTACCTCGTGTGCTATTGTCAATTGTCATTGCCTAACTTAAAACCCGTGGGAGAAATTGACAAGTTGCCAAACATATTACTAGTAGCGACTTGCACTTGTTACTAGTAGCGATGCACGAGAGATTACAGAAACTTTGGGCAAAACCAGCTGGGTTGAAATACTCCTTGTCAGCCGAGCAGCCGCAACAAAAGGCACCCTACTGCAAATGTTCTGATGCATTCTAAAGCTCTCAGCGCTACATCTTCAAAGGCCTGCCTAAACTGCGTTTGGTTGATACGGTCTTTTCGTATTCTTTGACTGTCTCTAGAATCTATATAGTTTTGCACTGTAAAGTCCCAAATGGTCCCAGTCTCCGTGTTCAATGCAACGTCGCACATAGCGGCGCTCGAAGCAGGTTCCGCGTAAGACGCCAGCATAGCTGCGACGCACCGCCATGACGAGACGACAGTCAGGTCCAGTTTGCAAAGATTGCAAGAACACAAGCAATTGGGGATGTGATCATCATTGGGGATGTGAGGCAGGTAGGGTGAATCGAAGCTTTCTGTGCGACCTGTGTGCCAACTGAAAAATATCTGGATGCCATCCAGTTGAGCCAGGTGAGAAACCCATTTTTCTGCTCTGAATGTGGTTTACTTGCCCGCAAAGGGATTCAAAACATAGAGCCGGCTCTGCACAAAACAGCCATCCTTGGAAATATCATCAGCGCTCAATCAAGATTGGGTAGAGAGTCAAAGGTGGTGAGCACCGCTCGCCGCTCACACAAATGGATGCACCCACTGATGCACCCACATCTGGCTGGTGTCAAGTCGCCAAATGGCCCGTTTCAGAGCCACAAATACATGAGTTGCCGCGAAGACACAAAGTGTAAGTCAGTATAGGTGTCCTTCGCACACATGATATGCGAACACGACTTGAAATTCACATGATTCGCTTTGCTCACCATTGCTGAGCACCCCGGGCTCCAAAAATTCCATCTCCTTATCTGCAAAGTAGGGAGCTTCATGGACCGCCGCTCCCGGAGGCGCGACCTGCAGGCCGTGCAGATCCGAGCGGGGCTAAGCCTCCAATCCCCGTCCTGCGCCAAATCCACTGTGGGGGGCTCAAGGTGGTCAAAAAATTGCTAAGGCCTCAGGATGCCTCAGGATGCCTCAGCTACTGAAGCACTGGCCTCCAACCTAATCTATAGTGGCCTTCAACCTACAGTACTAGCGATGGCCTCCAACTTGGATGCCTCAGGTATGTCAGGTACTTTCGGTGCCTCTGCCTTTCTGCCCCAGACCTACTGCCAGTGATGGCTAGGAGAGAGAGGGTTATGGTGATGGCTAGGGCCGCCAAGAATGGCCAACCTTCCAAACACCTGGACACCTCGCTGCACCTTGTCCGCGGAGAACCTGGCCCGAGGAACTGAGGAGGTGCTCGTCACGGACCTGGATCCGACCCACGAGCTCCAGTCGGTTTCATCCAGATGACCCGACAAAGCTTCGGAGGCGCTTGGGACACCAAACGTAAACCGTTTCCAGCTCTTTTCAAAAGGCTCTTTCCCATGACATAAGCTACAAGTAGTCACCCACAGTCACAAACCTCCCGTGAAGCTGCTGCATGTTCCCAAATATCGAACGCTCCCAAATATCGCTAGCCGCTAGCGCCAGTCATGAAGCCGAAGCTGTCGATGTCTCTTGGATGCTCTTGGCCCCTCTGCGGTGATTGCATGGAGAAAATTGAGCTCACGGGGCCCTCAGTGCAGCGCTGCGGCGCGCCGTGGTAGACAAAATGACCAACAGAGGCCTCCGAAATCTGCGACTCAAACGGCGGCATAGGGGTGACTGTCCGCCACCATATTAGCACACAAACCTCTCCACCTCACCAGTGTGCTTAGTGATTGGAGAGCATAGGAAAAGATGAAAAAGGAATGGTAAAGGGGCCCTTGTAAATAAGGTCCTTGCCTTCTTTCATTCGTCCTTTTTCAAGAGAGTCAAGAGAGTGAGTGTCTGTGTGTGTGTGCGTGTGTTTTTGCGCACACGCGTGCTAGCCGTGTCAGGGCACCCCCGCTCTGGCATCGCTACCTGAGACGTAGCAGGACGTAGCAGCGGAAGTGTCGAAGCACTTCCTTTGGATGTTTTCCCACAGCAATACCAGCCTCATGCTGGTCTAAACCCAAGACACTAAAAAAATCAGTAAATGATATGGTCCCTTTTTGTTTGTGGACAATTCTCAATGAATGAGAATCTAGCTTGCGCGAGTGCTTCCTACGGCCTTCACTGATTTCCCGAGACGCTGTAGTTTGCGTATGGTCCGTATACGACCGCATGTCAAAATTTGGAGGTTGTCCTAAAAGTATTTACAGCACTTGTTGTACGAGTATTTGCCGCAGTTCCACTGAGAAGATATTTCGCTTTGCTCATCTCAATCACAACATTCTCAACGACCTCACAACATTCTGACCGATCTCACAACATTGCCATCGGTGTCACAGTTGTCATTGGTGTCATAACGTCACGTTGTCATCGATCACTCAGTATTGTCATCGCATGACCACGTGATTCTTGGGGTGGGGTGGGGGTGTTGGGCGTGTTGCTTTCAACAGCGTCATCAATCTCACGACGTTGTCTTCGAGTTTTAACATAATTGTCTTCGATTGCAAAGCATTATCATTATCGGTTCCACAACATTAAAGCGGCATGCATACTCTAATAGCACAGCATGCAGCTGAAAAGGAGCCCTTGGAACTTAGAAAAAACGATGTTCAAATCCACACTGCGTTCGGCCATTGAATAGCATCGCAGGTTGTCCCAAGGGCATGAATAAGCCATTGGCCATAGACCTGCATTTGGCGCAAGGTAACATGCTTCTAAGAAGTTGAAGTTGAGCTGAAAGAGTCTGGGTCATCCTGCGAAAGCGACCCATCAATCTGTCCAACCAAGCGGAGGATTGCAGTTCCCTTGGCAAAGGCGTCGACATATCCTGGCACACAAGCATACGACAATCGAGATGAAAACAAATAAAACATCCCTCTTGAATGAGGAGCTGGCTGTGGATGTTCATTTCATAAATAATTAGTGGTATAAAATGTAAAGCCACCTAAAATTCACTATAAAATGTTAAACTGCTGGATTTATAGAATGTCAGGACGCTACACGCCAAATTCAGCATGGCGGAGCCCGCTGCTTATAGAATGTATTGACCCACTGCGAAAACACTCAAACATTAAGGAATTTTGTTTATATATATATATATAAAATGCATTGACCCACTTCCAAACACGCTCAGCGGCCCTATGTGGCCCTCTTTTTTTCAGCAATTCGTCTGATGTCTTTCTGACGGCTGTTGTCTTTGTCTTTGTCTGGTACCCATGGCCAAACCCACATCAGGCAGAAGGAACACTCATGAAAAAAAAACAAAAATATTCAAACATAAGCAAACATAAACATTCAACATGTGTTGAACCACAAAATAGGCAATCCATGGCTTGTGTCTACTCCAGAAATTGGTGTTTTACGGAATGTATTGACCCACTGAAATATGTTCCACTTCTTCCACTTCTTAAGGAACAGACCCTTTATATATTGTATTGATCCTCTGCTCCAAAACCTTCGTTTTTATGATGGACCCCCAGTCTGGGACTATAAAATGTATGGTCGGAAAACATTTTGTAAGGGAACAGGATCGACATTTCATAGTGTCTCATTCAGGGGGGATAATAAAACAACCAACACTTCGGAGTGTGCTGATGGCAGTATGTCAGCATGGTGTGGTTTGTCACCTTGGTTTCAAGACCTGAGATGACCGTGCCTCGGTGTCGGAACCAGTGCCGCGCGAGAGGGGCCTCAGAGCATGCACCCTTTTGCGCTCTCTGCTTCCAGTGAGCTCAGTCCTTGTCAACGAAGCAAGAACTTCTCCTTCTTGGTTTTCCTGTCTTTCTTGGTCTGTAGACCTTTAGGAACCATTAGGAACCGGTAGGCAATTTTTCTTCCCTGTAACTTTCCCTCCTTGTGTAAAGACCTGTCCGTTTCCCTTAGGAAATGGACCTTCAATCTACTTCATGCAGCACCTGTACCAACTCCACGGCTTTCTGAGTGGCAGACTCCGCAGTATAGCGGGAAGAGAGGCACGGATCTGCCCGAGAAGCCTTGGCTTGGCAGGTGGCCTGGAGCGGACTACCCACCCTTTCTTGGAACTTTCGCATTCGACCCGCCAATTCGTCGACTTGAAACACACATGAAACGAAGAAAATGCCACCTCGACGAATGATCGGTGCTTGCACCAGATGAGGCTTAGGTCGGTGTCGGGGTGCGAGCTCAAAGCAAACAAGGCTGGACGAGACACCGCAGCAGACGCTCCATCATCAGCCGAGATCAGTGCCTGAGCAAGGCCACCATCATCTTATACAATTCATTTCTCTTTTGCCTCTTGTGTTCATTGGGGTTGAAGGTCCAGAGTCTCTTTTGATTGCATGTGCGTCACAAACGCGGCCTTGTACCCGGCTGGCTGGAAAGTACTACGGCCAAACACCAAGGTGGCACGGTGCTCAACGAGCATCCCCAGAAAAATCACCTCAAAGGAAGACTTGCCAGGCAAGTATGCAAAGCAAAACATGGGATGCAACCTATGACTAGCTCAATCTTCCTTCACAATTGTCCACGGTAGCGTTTTTTCCCACCTGTCAACTTTAAAACGGTATATATTCAACAGCAAACTA